CCACTGCTTAACGAGACCAAAGCCGGCCAAGCACGCTGCCATTGAGTCCTTTCCAGCTGAGCCACCTCCGTGGACCGCGCAGCACCCTCCTGGGTTCTCAGACTGTGAACTCTTCGTGGGAGTAGAAAGCCTCCTCTTTGGCCCAAAGAGCAGCTGGTGGTTTCAAGGTGCCAACCTCGTAGTTAGCAGCCCAACAGGAAACCACCATGTCACTCGGGGGCTCCTAAATAGTCACAGCCACCAGGAATCGGTGTCATTGCCTCCTGTCCTCACCTCCCAGAGGCTAAGTGACTTGGTTGGGTCTTCATTCAGCAAACACCTAATTCAACGTGTGGCAGGGTCTTAGGTCCCCAGGGGGAGTACAGAGGGGCCTGAGATGGGAAAAGTACACTCCCAGCCTAGTAGAAAAGATAAACACATATAAGCAATTTAAAGGCTTATGGGTCCTTAGTTTCTCCCAGGGTAGGAAGTCATTTGAAGTTAAGTCTTAAAATACTGACTCGACCATTGACGTATTGACTATGCCTGAGAGTGGGTGCCACCCATGGGCTAGTCCAGAAGCCATTACTGTCCCATTTGGCCTGCAGGACCAAGACTAAAAGAGGTCACCCCCCCCCTTAGTGGTTTCTCACTGGATGTGACATGCAGACGTTCACTTAGATACTGTTCCCTGAGACTTAGTCAAATGACTACCCCTAACTGGAAAGGAGTCTCATCCAAAACTAGGAATGGTTCTCCTATAGAACCCAGGGACGCAGCCACTGTGTCCATCCGTCTCCTTGAGGGCCTTCTTCGCTGCCCCTCGACTTGACCAAGCATCATGTCCTTCTCCAGAGACTGGTCTCGCGGGACAACACATCCCAGTTAAGTGAGACAGAGTCTCGCCATCCTTCACACTACAGAGCACTTTTGCCGTATTTCCTCCAAGACAAACGTGCGTGTCCTTCAGGCAGTATTCTGCTCCGGCACCACAATTCCCGTGCATCGGTTCTTCTTCAGTCTTCTTCCTCAATGTCCATACCTGCATATGAGGCCCCTGAAAGCACCAGGGCCTGGGGCAGGTGCACCCGGGTCCTCACAGCTGCATCCTTGCGTTTCAGCACTCACGGAGGCCTCGTGCAGCAGATCTACTCTGCCGCTCTGGAGAGACCAGAGAGCAAGTTCAGTCTGAATGGACCCTGATAACCATGAAGATACTGGGCGAGAAGGCAAAGCTGCTGCCGACCACCCTGCCTGCCTTGCCATTTATGATCCCCCCGAACCCACACACCAGTAGGACCTGGTTCCAGTCTGCCTTCCACATGAACAAGCTGTGCCACCTGAGGCCAGCGACTTCGTGTCTCTGAGCTCCTGTTTCCTTGTCTGTGTACTGGGAGCGGCAGGACCCTCCCCATTAGCTACTTCCTACCCTCCTCCTAGTCCTCTGCCCAGCGCCTCCTGCTTCTCTGCCCCCTCCCACTGTCCTCCTCACTGCCTTCCACCTCAGAGAAACCCTTCCGTGTCCCTTCCAGAGGAGGATGAATGGCCACAGAGCCCAGTCACGTAGCCAAGAGGCAGTGAGTGACCCAGCCCCGTGACCTGCTCTGGTTTCCCACGCCAGAAATTCTGACTGCTTGGTTTTAACAAAAGGCCTGTGTGCTGCTTCCAGATGCCCAAGCTGGAGCGCAGTGGTGTGCCGGTGAATGTGTAACCACCCGCTCTCTTGGTGGAGGAAACGCTGTCATGGACCTTGTTGGCCAGTTTCCATGGTGTAAATGCGCCCACTGGGGTCCATTTCAAGCTTGGGTCCAGCCGCAGCCACCCAATAGAGCAATGGTTCTCAACCTTCCTAATGCCGCGACC